CACCTCAGCCAGACTCCTGTTTGCAGACTTCTCCTCTGCATTCAACACCCTGCAGCCTCACATCCTGGCTGACAAACTTTCAGCTTGCTTCCATCTGAACGACCAGCTTATCCTGTGGATATTGGACTTTCTGACCAACAGATCACAGAGAGTTCTGGTCAACAACACCTTCTCCAACCTCCAACACACCTCAACTGGCTCAACTGCGTGCTCTCACCTCTGCTCTTCATCCTCTACACCGATGACTGCAGAACCACACAGCCAAACTGTCACCTGGTGAAGTACGCGGACGACACAGTTCTCCTGTCTCTGCTGTCAGGCCCCTCTCAGCACCATGGACCAGTTCTTCAGGAGTTTGTGGAGTGGTGTGACAGCTCCTGCCTCGAACTGAACGTGAGCAAGACCAAAGAAGGTGACCTTCTCCAACAAGCAGAGGGAACTGGCTGCATCAGCAATCACCACAATCCATGGGAATCCTGTTGAACTAGTAGAGGAGTATAAGTACCTGGGTACCATCTTCGACAGCCTGTTGAAATTCTCCTCCAACACCGAGGAGATTCTCAGGAAATGTCAGCAGCGAAAATACCTCCTAAGGAAGCTCAATTCCTTTGGAGTCAGTAAGAACATTCTTCTGACCTTCTACTACTCCTTCATTGAGAAGTTTACATCTGTTTACATCTGTTAGTCCGATCACTGTCCACTTATATCTACTCCTTTATATTTAGTATTTTAAGTTAAGTTTAAGCTTTAAGTTGTATTTAAATTGACACTTTATATTTAGGTTTAGGTTTCGTACCTGCACTGTTGTTAATTTACTGCTCTGTGTGCCTTTGAATTGCCCCCCGGGGACAAACAAAGTTTTTTAAATTGAACTGAATTGTTTACCTGCCCAGGTACAACAGATATAGATTAGCTATTAGCTAAATCTGATGAATTTACATTTATTGTGCACTGCCCCTGTAAAAATAAATAACAAAGAAATAATACAAATACATTAAATGTCTCATTGGGATTAAAAAAAAGTCAAAGAAAATACTTTTGTTGTCAGCAGATGAGACTGACTTCTCTTCAACAGAGGGAAACAAAGCTTCATATCCTCCTCTTAGAAGAGAGGCTGAAAGATGCAGTATCACAGTTTCTGAGGATGAAATGTTAAATTATTGTTTTTGCAGCTAGTTTTTCTAATAAATTGAAAATATTTGATGTTTAATTATTTGATTTAGAATGGATATTGTTTTGGTCTGTGTTGCTTTACTATACAAGCATTGAATAAAAAATTGATTCAATATGTGTCATGTGTTCTACATGTCTCTACCTCCACCGTGAATCCACCTTGAATCCACCTTGAATCCACCCTTCCAGTGGGATCAGGATAATCCTGATTTTAACACTAAACCTATCCTAATCTAAACCTTAGAGTTTTGAAATACCCAAAATCAACATTTGATCTGGATTCTGGACAGGAATGGATTACCAAATCCGTATCACGATTTTGAAGGATCAGGATCCCATCTCTGCTTTTGAAACACCCAAGTTTGAGATTTTATCCTATCCAGATCATTCTGATCCAGATTCAACTTTTTGAAGAACTGGGCCCAGGTGCCTCGAGGTCAACCTGAGCTGAGAAGATGTGCCTTTGTCTTCTTTGCACCGTGCTCTTGGAAATCACTACAATGCACAGGTTTCTGATGGTCATTTAAAATCTGTAATTATTAACCTCTGACTGCACCGGTTTGAATTGATTTTAATGTTAACATCATTTATTAAGTGATAAAATCTCTCCACTTCAGCTGCTCCACAGATGGAGGTCTTTGCTCTCAGAGAAGAACCTTAGAAGTCCAGATTATAATTCAGTGGACTCCAGAATCCAAAGAAAGTACTGGAGCACATGAACCACTTCTCATGAGGATCTAAATCTAATCCCATGTGTACCTTTGCAGCAGGGAGGTCGCTGTGTGACTCTTCACCTGGACTCTCCCTCCTCTTCGGCAGCTCGAACCTGGTCACGTGGTACTCTTTGCATCTCATCAGGAAGTCCATGAAATGGTCCCGGGCGGTCTGAACCGTAGTAAGCCTCTGGTCTCTGCTAGTCTGCTTCAGGGTCAGGGCTCCGAGCAGGGCGGGCAGCAGCAGGTACTTCAGGTCTGCGGTGGAAACCTCCTCCAGGTCTTCGTTCCGACTGAACAAGTCCAGCTGAGCCACCATCCGGGCCGCCTCCTGAAGGAGGCCCAGCCCGCGGCGGACCCGGAGCTGGACCGCGTTGGACCCGAGGGGCTCGTTAGTGCTGTCCACCTCCTCGTAGATCTTCCAGCCCCCATCCAACAGCTCGCTCAGTTTGGGCGCATCAGACCCTGACGCATCCCGAACTTCACCACTGGGCTCACAAGACGCCATCTTTTCTTCACTTCCGGGTTCTGTCTTCTTCGTTTGTGTTTTGTTTTTTACCATGTTGATGTTTCAAGTGTTTTCGCCCCCTCTGGTCAGACAAAGAAACGACATCTGAAGGACCAAAGGCATAATATTACTTTTTCATTTACGGTTTTCACATTTTTAAGTAATTTATTGATAAATATGATTCTTTTATTGAAATTCTATGGCAATAAAATAAAACAAATACAAAATAAATCAGTTACTGAAAATCTGCAACACCCCTGTCCAGGAAAGAAATAAGAAAAAATAAAGAAACTCTCTGTGCTTGACCAACTAGTTGAAAACAGCTTTTATTGAGTCCAGGTTCCCCCTAAGGTATGAGGTGCTGCAGGGCATGCTGGGAATTAGTGTTTTGACATGGCCTTTTCGTTCAGGGCTACATGCCTGACCAACACATGGCTGATCCCAACGCAAGAAGCCGTTGGTTGTTGTTTTTTAGATCCGTGTAGCATTAATGAAAGAGATGATTCTTCTTCGGGTGTTCAGCTCTTTTCTCTCTCTCTCTCTCTGTCAGTTTCTTCAGGGCTAAACAGAGGCTAAACACAGCGGCAGACATATTCCTGGAGGTGGTCCTAAAGAGAGATTTCCCAGAATTCATCACCTCCTACTTGAATCAGGACCACACCTTTCTCAGCTCCCAGGACTTCAGACAGGTGGAGGCTCTGGAGGCAGACATTCCCCGACACAAACTGTGAAGAGTCTCAGATGGAAGATCTCCACATGTTCTTACAGAGAGTGTATTACTGCCACCACAATAAAAGAAATATTAATGTTTACGTTTGCTTTTTTTAATGTGAACATTTTACTTTTTTCACATCGGCAGACCCCGTCTTTGCTCCCTGTTTGCTGTGTCTTTCCACAACATAAATAGGTTTAAATGTTTTATGATTGCATCTGGAGAGAAGATGAGCATCTGTTAAACAATCTGCATTTCATTATATAGTGTGAACAGAAAATATTGTTTTTCAGGTGAGCCCAAACGTTTTCCTTACTACCAGACCTACAGCATGCACAACTATCTATTCAGTTAGGACTGCTCTTAGACATCAATACTCTAAAAGAAAGAGCTTAAAAGTATTAATGACAGAGAGTACATTAACATTGTGCACAAGGGACAACCCGGCGCTGAAGCGACCAAACGCAGAGCTAGAAGCATCATATTTTGGCCAGCAATGTAAAAAAACATGACTGACGAGTTGCTTTCATGTGCAGTGTGCAACAGCACCAGATCTCATCAGCAGAAGGAGCCTCTGAAGCTTCACCCAGTTCCAAACCTCCCATGGTCCACACGGTGGCAACTGACATTTTCGATTGGCATGGTAAACATTACCAATTGCTGGTCGACTCTTATTCAGGTTGGTTTGAAATCGAGTCACGACCTTCTCCGTGACATGACGTCATTAACTGTGATCACAAAATGAAAAAGACACTTTGCAGTGCATGGCACACCTCACACCCTGCTCTCTGACAATGCTAGACAGTACACGAGTCAGCAGTTGAAGGAGACTGCAAAACAATGGGATTTTGAACATCTCACAAGCAGCCCCGAGTACCCTCAATCAAACGGACCCGCAGAGAGCGCTGTCCGCAGTGCCAAGCGACTGATGGAGCGATCTTACAGAGACGGTTCTGATGTGTTTCTTAACCTTCTAAACGTCAGAAACATCTCCCGTGATCCTACACTTGGATCCCCAGCTGAACGCCTGATGTCACGTCCGACACGTGCAGCTATTCCTGTGCGCACCAAACTGTTACAGCCTACCCCCAAAAATAAATAAGCAGCAAATAAATGCCCAGCTTCTCAACAAAAGGCTCACTCTAAAGCGCCACTACGACACTTCAAGGCGCCCTCACAGACCTTTGTCAGAAGGACAAGTTGTCAGAATGCAGACTCCCAAAGGCTACAGTCAACTTGGGATCGTGAAAATGGTGAGCAAGGAACCACGTTCCTACATCATCCAGTCTAACGGAACTACATACAGGAGAAATCGTCCTATCCTTCCTGTTGGAATCCAGCTACATCACTTTGAGCATATCTCTCTTAAAAGTTGAAATATTTAAAAAATTTAAAGGTCACATATTCTCCTCCTTTTGAACTAGTTTAAATAAGTCTCAGAGCTCCTCAAAACATGTCTGTGAAGTTTCTTGTTCTGAATCCACTCTGATCCTGTATTTGATCATGTCTATAAACCCCTCTATTTCAGCCCTGCTCAGAACAGGCTGTTTCTGTGTCTGTACCTTTAAATATGTAAATGAGCTGGGTTTGACCATGCACCCTCTCTGGGTGTCTCGGTCTTTCTCGCTCCATGTCCTATTGTTTACAGTGAGAAGGCAGACTCAGAGGGCAGAACAAACACCTAGCTGTGGGAGTGTCAGCCCTTTGTGATGTCATGAAGGGAGGGACGGAAAGGATGGACTTTTCTCATCATTGAGGGGTTTGTAGACACACTAGAGACACATAATAGTGTTATAGAAACATGGTGAAGTGTAGTTTACATAATATGTGACCTTTAAAGGATATCTTTGTTTTATTTAGTTTTTCTAAAGAAACTGGAATAAAATCAGTAAAATTAGTTTAAGGCACTTTATTTATCAGAAATAAATCTCACGCAGAGAATACAAACTGATACAAAACATTTAAAGCACTTTGTTTCAAACAGGAAACTCAAATCTCTTTAGTGCCGTCTCAGATGAATCTCAGCTCATAACAGAAAAATCATCAAATGTGAACATTTATTCTGTTTTTACACAACCAAAATCTCAGAGCACGGAAACAAAGACAAAACCAACCAAACACAGAATCCCAACACGGGTAAGTTACAGAAAAGATGATCTGATAATGAACACGACTTTTACATTTTAACACCTCCTTCTTTTAAATAAACTTTTGTTTATTAACGTGGACGTGACTCTGTCGTCATGATAACAACATGTATTCCTCCAAAATACAGCCAGATTTATGTTTGTATTGATAATATTGAAGTTTATATTTTATGTTATTTAAGTTTAATTAGCTTTATGATATTTGTTATTTTGTATCGAGGGTAATTTATAATGTTTGTAATAAAGCCTGAGAGAGAAAGGAAGTCTCTGATTTGTTGTGTCATCACTTTGCAGACAGGTAGATCAGAAGTTTACGTACCTGTAGGTAAAGGTTGTAGAGGTGCAGGTGAAACATGAACTCCTGCAGGATTATTTTTGTTACAGTGAAGTGATGAGACAACACATCAAAGTGTTTCACAGATTTATCAGACTCTATTATATACTTAAAGACACAATGAACACTGTGTTTCTGTTTGACTTTGAAGGTATAATATGCAACAATTTAAACATTATTATATCAGATATCACTAAAATATCGCTGAGTAATGACTTTTTTTTATTAAAGAGTGAAGTCAAACTCCCTCTTGGTCTTTTGTTGTTCTCAGCTCTGTGTTCACACTGATGGGATGAAGCTTCCTTCAGCTTGTTTAAGGACGCACTCACACTCGGCCCAGTTGTACCGTACCGTGCTGAAGCATTCTTGGCCCCCTTCCTCATTCACCCGCTGGCCTGCACTCAAACTGCTGCGGGACTAACCGGGCCTGAGCACGGTTACCTCTCGTACATCACGTCCAACACATGCATGTCTTTATGTAATTATAAAGCGAGGTTAGTTTACAAAACAGTTTGACTCGGGGGGGAAAAAAACAAAAAGAAGAGAAGCACGGTCGGGTCCGCTTCCGCAGATCGGAGAAAAGCACAGAGAAGATGACAGCTACTTTACTGACTGTGTGTCTTAATTTGAGTGATGTTGCAAAGATTTCTCAAAGACCTCTCCAAAGCGTTCCAGGGCCAAGGAGGTGTACCAAGCTTGAGCACAGATTGTCTAGTGTGAGTGCGACCTTAGTTTCACTCAGAGACTCAAACGTGTTTTTCTCATGAACCCCATCCTCTCGAACAGTAAGCCCAACCACCATGTGGGAGAAGAGAGATGCCCTGCCCACTCAAGGACGCTGGCTGTAAAGGCACAATGGCGGAGTTGCGTTGCAAGAGTACAAATCAACAGAATAGAAAAAGAATCAACAGAATTTCCAAACAGAAGAAAATAGATTTTGGGCTGAATTAAATCAAAGAAATAAGAACAGAATCCTGTTTGCACATCAGGATGGAGATCAGTTCTACTGACGGCTGCACCTGCTCGAACTCTGAGGGAGGGGCGGGGGGAGGAAGGGAGACGCGGTAGTGGTGTACTGACTGGTGCTAAAGCGCGACATCTACTGGATCCAAAGTCACATCTTATACCTTTCAGGTGAGAAACTGCTAATCATCAATTTGTTTAACCTCCTTCTTATTGTTATATTTATATGAATGTCTTTTAAATTCAGACCGAGCGAGGACGTCGGTTTATCTGCTCCTGAACACACCTCCATCTTTTCTGACCGAAGTCATTCAAGGTTAAAATGTTCAATTAATGTGTTAATTTATAATATCTTAAACTGGTTCACATTCAAAAAACACAAACGACAAACACACGATCATAAACCTCTTTCTGGTCCCAACACGTGTGAGCGGAGCCACACTTACGACAATTAATCACCAAAGATCTCTGAACAGTTCATCCAAATTTGGCACAACCTGATCGATGTGATAAACAGCTGATCAGTCTTTGTGAAGGCACATAGTGTGTGTGTGTGTGTGTGTGTGAGTGTGTGTGTGTGTGTGTTGACATGGATTATCTAACAGACGTGTTGTCGGGGAAACCCTGCCTGATGACAGGGACTTCCTGTCCTGAGGTTGAAGCTTTGAGGATGCCGTCGCTTTATGACAACAGAAAGCTGAAAGAGAGTGAGAAAGAACAAGAGAGAGACTGTGAGCCAACAGGAAACCAGGATTCATCTCAGCAATTACAGCAGGTTAAAGAGGAACCACACACACTCACCTGTACGGGTACCCATGATACTTTGCTCTGAAGATGGACAACAGCCAGCTGAAGAAGAGCATCACGAGACCTACACCTGCAACACACATGACTGACACACACACACACACACACACACACACACACACACACACACAGTGAGCCCCAGTGAAAAGCCCTGCTCTCCATACTATTACTATGGCTGCATGTATGAATATGTTTATAATACGTGTGTTTGTATCATATAATGTGGGCGTGTACTTACTCTTCCTCTTGCCGATGTCGAGGTCAGAGGTAGCAGCCTCACACAGCAGTACCATCCCCATGGTAACAGCAGCATCTACACACAGGTAAAGGCTCAACAACACATGTGAGGATAAAAGTTACTTCGAACTCTGAGGGACAACAACCATGCTACAGAGAAGGAGGAAGAGGAGGAGGAGGAGGAAGAGGAACAGGGGGAGGAGGAAGGGGAGGAGGAGGACGAGGACAGGAAGAGGAGGAAGAGGAGGGGAGGAAGAGGAGGAGAAAGAGGAGAAGGAGATGAGGAGGAAGAGGAGGAGGAGAAGGAGGAGGAGAAGGAGATGAGGAGGAAGAGGAGGAGAAGGAGGAGGAGAAGGAGGGGAAGAAGAGGAGGAATAGGAGGAGGAAGAGGAAGAAGAGGAGGAGGAGGAGATGAGGAAGAGGAGGAGGGGGGGGAGAGGAGGAGGAGGAGAAGGAGGGAAGGAAGAGGAGGAGGAGGTAAACTGATCAAGGATACTGAAGATGAGGACGATGTGAGTCTCAGCCACAAACTGAGCCTGACTGCTTCCATGGATGTAACTCTGAAGAACACAAAGAAACACAAAAACAATTACTGACTTGAGCTGCGTATCGTCCACAACCTCTCAGTTCAACTCAACTTCACTTCTTTGGGTCACAATTCTATTTGATATCGATTTAATAATACAGATGACAGGACAGATAACTCATCAAGGTCCCTTCTGATATTTGTTAAATAATCATCTGCATTGTTTGTAGGTTTAGAACAAACTGACTCAAAATGTATTTTACCGATGCATTATTCTTTAATAAACAAAGAAGAAAACATTAAAGCACAGTATGATCTAAAATGCACATTTGTGTCTATCCTAAATTCACAGCACACACACAGCGCCCCCAGTGGAGAGGGGCGTCATTACAACGACATAAAATCGATCTTAGGATTTCCCTGAATCGATATTGAATTGGGAAAAAAAAACGTTGTAGTATAACAAACGGCATTGTCCCGTGTGTGTGTGTTTTACCACTTGTCCGGTGCTGGGGTTCTTGTGAGCGTACGGTGGTCCTCTAATGTGATTCCACATCTGACCTGAAGTCATGATCAGCACAAAACACTAACACACAGACACACACAGACACACACAGACACACACAGAGACACACACACACACACTATAAACATCCAGATATGCGAGTACATATTTACATGGATCTATATACACATTACCTGTATTATGTTTGTGTGTATATTGGTGTGTAAATATTTCTGTGTGTGTGTTACCAGAGCAGAGAAGGCCCACACATTCCTGTTGAACAGGAACTCCAGGTTGTGTCTGCGCAGGTAAGCAAGTCCTCCAATCACAGCGAGCAGGAGGCCGAGCAGCAGAGGGCCGGCGTAGTTTGGAGGCCGAATCACCCTGATCTGAGAGACAGGACACTCTTCATCATCACCATCATCATCATCATCATCATGTGACTGTGACACGCAACTCCAGGTGAGTCTTACCTGTACATCCGTCCTGTCAGCCACCCAGCGAGCTAGCTGCTCGGCAGCGAAGCCTCGGACCTGCAGCTCGTACGTGTCAGTGCGACGAGGTTTCCCTTTAGACGGAAAGTGGAGGAAGGTCGGAGCAGAATTCATGTTCAGCTGAAATACACACACAGACAAACACAATACACATCAAATAACACACACAGACACTATAATTACAAGATCTATTATCAACCTATCTGTCTAATGTTGCTGTTAATGTTGGATCTTTGTAAGTTATATAATAAAGAGTTCGGTGTAGACTGATGGATTCGTAGTTAAGGTGCGTGTTAACTTCATGTAGATGTACAGAAACAGTCTCTGAGAAAACAAACAGCGGCATGAGAACGGAGGTTGTCTCACCATCTGGAAGACGTCTGATCCCTCGTCGAAGTCGACAGAAGCAAAGAAGACTTTGTTGGTGAACGCAGACGAATATCTCCAGGAGTTAGCCAGCACCTGGAACTCCTCGTCCGCCTGTCTGAGATTTAAACATCAATTCAAATAAAGGTTTTTTTTTAATTTAAATATAAGCTACCTGTGTCAGTGTCACTCATCCTTACTTGCAGACTCCACACTGTCTCTGAGGCTGCAGCGCCGTGAACATGATGACCACGGAGTAGTTTCTGGGCGGAGCCTTAACGAAGCGTCTGAATTTATCTCCGTTCATCCTGATGACCGAACGCTTCGACGCCCAGTCCATCATCTGAGACATTTTCTCTGACAGCAGAGTCTTCAAAAAATACACACGATAAAACACTGTCTAAAATAGTTTTATGGCTTGTGTGTGTGTGTGTGTGTGTGTGTGTGTGTGTGTGTATACCACTATGTGTCTCAACCCCCTCTAAGGACAGCGGGGGTCCTCAGTCTCTGGCGCCCTTATTTTTGCTCTAATATACACAGAATAAATAATGTTTTATAGAATATATTTGAATTAAATGTGATATCAGGTAGTGTTTTAATCTGTCAGGTGACCCGAGGTGACAGGTGAGTGTTAGAGTTAGTAAAGTAACCTGACTGAATGTCAGTTATAGTAAACACAATGAATTGTTGATTAGTAAACACACTTCTTACATCAGAAACTAAACAGAAGATTTGATTTGTTGACAAAGTTTGTGAGAAGTGCCTCAGGTGTGTTTACCTGGATCTGTTGGCTGTAAACTGGACCACTAACACAGATATAATCATTATAATCATCATGAGGTTTATTAAACGTTAACAGGCTAACTTTTTTAATTATTCTGCTAGCTCACTTCCACTCGCTATCTGGTTCTGTTAGCTGACAGGTTGGCGGTCTGCAGTGAACTTTTAAAAAACGTCTTAAAAATGTTTTTAAATGTTATTAAAGTCCGTCGGGCTCTACGTGACGTTAATGAACGTTTTTACCTCTTTCTTCTTCTGCGCTTCAGCAGCTTCATGCTGGAAAATACAGAAGACAAACAGCGAAATCCAAACTTTTACAAACATCCTGCTAACGCTGCTAACGCCGCTGCAGAGTCCTGTCAGCCTGTGATTGGTCAGCTCGCAGCCAATCAGAGACCTTGTGTCTTCTTCGCCGATAAAAATAGAAGTTTAACCGCTCTTAGGTTCACTAGCGCCCCCGTCTGTTCCAGAGTGAGCTATTCCCTTTCACACGCTCAGGACTCAGTGGATCGTCAGTGATGTAATAATAATAATAATAATAATAATAATCCATAAATCAATCAAAACCATAATTCAGTTGCCAGTGTTTGATTTGCTTGTGATTTAATTTGTTGTTTTGTTGGCTGTCTCTGGGTCCACCTTAACTTGTTTATTATCTAACGTGTGTCTATTTCAGTAAAAGGAGTGAAATGTCGAATTGTCTAGATAATTACTTAATATGCTGCTCAAATATCTTTCAATTGGAAAGAATGATTAAAGAAAAAGTGATGATGTTAATTATGAATTTAATGAGTAAATCACACTTAGATTTGTTTGTTTCTGTAGGCTTTGTTGTTTTGATTTGTGAAAGAAAAAGTAAACAACAGGTTAGCCATCTGATTTCTGAATCAACAGTAACTTATGAGAAACTATTCCATGATGTGTGTTATTGTGTAGGAATCACACACTGAAATCAGTAAATAAATCAAATGTGAATGTTTGGAAAACAGTTGTCAATAAGGACGTGATGTTAAAAAAAATCTCCCTCCTCTTCTCTCCCAACTCTCTGATTATTCTACGACAAAAAAGATTAAAGCTTAACACTCCAGTAGGTGGTGTGTATCAACTGCCATGAAACACAAAGGAAGAAGAGGAAGAAGCAGGTCTACTGGTTATGTCGTGATTAATGGAGTTTCTGGAGTCTGTTGGGGTCCTAACCAAAAAAAATCACAGGGTGTGTGTCCAACCAGCTTTCATCTCCATTATGTTGAAAATAATCCGAGACCAAGATTGACTTTAATTGACAAACTTTAGTTTTCACAGGAATATTGCGACCAGAGGTGCTGCATGTCAAAAGTACAAGCTGCAAAATATATGCATGGTTGTCACACATTAAGACAAACAACATTTAAAGGGGACATGTTATGAAAAATCCACTTTTAGTGTTTTTGAACATTTATTTGGGTAACCTGAGTTTCTACTGATCCACAAAATGTGAAATAAACCCATCCAGTCCTTTGTTTGTGGACTGCATAAGCCTTAAGAAGAAGAAGAAGAAGAAGAAGAAGAAGAAGAAGAAGAAGAAGAAGAAGAAGAAGAAGAAGAAGAAGAAGAAGAAGAAGAAATAGAAGAATAAGTAATCAACACTCCATACCAGTAGGTGGCGGAAATGCACCAACTCATTGTTTGCCAACCGCGATAAAACCTTACAGAAGAAGAAGCCAAGTAGGAAGAAGCAGAAGAAGAAGAATAGGAAGCAGCAGAAGAAGAAAAAGAAGTATCACTGTAGTCCTGTAGTTGTATTTGTGTCACAGAGGATGTCAGGAGAGAAACACCTGAGCGGGTCCGACAGAGAAAGTCAGGTATGTTAGCATCATGCTAAAGGCTTCACACAGGAGCAGCTTTGTTCTGTGGTTGTGTCTTTGTGAACATTGTTAGCTGCGGCTATGCTAACAGCTGAGCTAGTTGACAAAGAGCTGGCTGTAACTTTCTTACGTGATGACGTGCAACAGACAGGTGAGAACAACGAGGCTTCTCCAGGTGTGATGTTCAATGTAAACAAACTGCAACGTCACCAAACACACGCACTGTTAGCCAACACGTGGCTAAAGCTAACGTTACAGTGACATGTGTTTATTAAAGGTGTGTGTGCATTACAGGTGACCTGTTACCTGTAATTGAGTAACTTCAGTTATCTTTACAAACTGTGGTTACATACTGACATGCTGCAGTGACGTTAGAAACTGAAGTGTGTGTGTGTGTGTGTGTGTGTGTGTGTGTGTGTGTGTGTGTGTGTGGTGTGTGTGTGTGTGTGTGTGTGTGTGTGTGTGTGTGTGTGTGTGTGTGTGTGTGTGTGTGTGTGTGTGTGTGTGTGTGTGTGTGTGTGTGTGTGTGTGTGTGTGTGTGTGTGTGTGTGTGTGAACCCCCCCCCCCCTCCTTTCAAAGATCTAATGGTCTTAAAATAATCGATGCAGACTCAGCAGATGAATATCTGTGCTCATCTTTCCGAGCAGCATCTTAGTGACCGTGCAGGTCATTAGGGACTGACGTAGTGACTTCATGATCATGAAGCCTGATGTTCCTCGACACTTCTGTAGATTATCAGTGAACTAAAAGAACTGTACTGCTGCAGACTCCAGTCTGATAAAACAGACTAATGATCGGTGTCCCTGTTATGAATCGTCTGTCTCCAGACAATGCCACATTATCAAAAACTCACAGGTCACATCTCCTAATTGAGTCAGAAGTCACAACATGTGGAGGTAAAGTTTATAATGACACGATTTGACTTGAGTACTGTCACTTGAAAAGAAAGTGTAAAAGAGGCTCCTTCTGATGCACTATGTCAGCTGTTCAATGTCTTTAAAGTTGACCTATCCTAACTCACATATAGTGTTACGATGCTGGATGTCCAAACTAAACATGGGCAAAGTTTCAGATCATGAGGTAGATGTATGTGGGAGTAATCCCAGGAAGCAAACCTCATTCATAGACTCTCTTCTCCCAGCACTGGAGAGAGGCCCTCCCCTGGCAGCCCTGCAGCGTTCATGGGGAGAGGCCTTATGCTGCATTCAGGTGCTGCTCGGGTGGTCCAAGTTTCCAAGTTGGGAAGTCGTTCTTCCGAGTTCAGTGTGTTCACATCATTTCAGTTCAGAAAGTCTGAATGTTGTAACAACAGCTCAAAAAAGTGTGATGCTACGAAGAAGAAGATCAGTGAAATGTAACTGTTAAAAGTTATATTTGAACACAAAGTTGATGTGCAATACTTGAATTAATGAAATGTGTTTTAACATTGACAAAACATATTTTGCCCCCCATGTGATGACGATTTTGACGTCAAGTTGGGCATGTAATTCTTTTCCGAGTTTCCAAGTTGTTGCTCCGACTTGAGCAGGTGTTCATGAGCATTTTACAACTCGGAAACTCGTTTTTCCCATGTGTCCGACACCACATGAATGCAGCAGTAAAGACAAACGGTTTCTAACATGAGGGTTTTTCCTGACGCCCGTATCAGATCATGGATGAGGATTTTCTTTTTCTTTCCGTAAATCATGCAGAGCTACTCTGTAAGTTTCACAGAGTGACAACATGAAAGGTGAACATGAGGAGAAGACAGGATCTTTAATTCTCAGGCAGAAATAGTCTGCTTAGTCATGTGCTGAAGTCGGGGTGTCAGGCTTAAGTTGTGCAAAGGGCAAAAGTAGGTGTCTGAGTGTGTTTGTTTAATAGTATAAATTATAATCTGAATGAGCTGGATGGGCTCAGGGATTTGTCCTGGGTAGCTGACTAGATGGGGCTGATCTAGAGGGTGACGTGGGCCACAGGTGCCACCCAAAAATCATCAAATCCATGTTTTAGGCTGTTTGTTGCAGCTTTATTCAAATTTCAATGTGGGACGTTCTAAGTATTTTTTAGTCTTTTAAAACTATAATTAAAAATGATCATGAAATACTGTTTAACAGTTTATATATCAGAAACAGTGCAGAGCGGCTGATGGTGATGGCGTCGCTGACGTTACTGCTAGTACGTCCTCAGTACGAGTGTCCATAGCAACATGAGAAGCCATGAAGATGGAAAAGCAAACCTCAGTGAGTTTTCAATTGTGTGGCCAGAGAAGCTAGAACAAAATCAGTTGACTCTTTTCATTTCATGTCTACTTTCTGAACCAAAAGACTGAAGAGTATCAGTACCAAACCATAACCGTCCTGATGTGTGTGCGCGCTCAACTCTGAAGCAGTCAGACGAAGCTCCAGCTCGCTGTCAGGGACCCTCAAAGTGATTGGTGTTGATAAAGTGGTGAAACAGATTTTTTAAATTTGTTCTGGATTCAAGAGAAACATGTTTGAAAACACAGATGTTGTGTTACATATGAAGCAGCTGGACATGAACAACTGAGTGTTACTAATATGTATAGATTTGTATGTAAAGCTTAAAGGTTTTTCACACTTCTTTTTAGATGCTAAAATGTGTTTGATTATGCAAAGACAAAGTCTAATCTAATATGCACGCCTAAATATTCATTTATCGTACATTGTATTGTTATCACAAAACAATGTAGTGACCCCACACTGACACACTTAATGTGTCCATCACTTCACCTATTAATCCTGTGTGTGTCAGCAGTGATGGGTCCCAGGAGGAAGGCGTCGAAGCTCCAGCCTCTAGGGGGCAGCAGTGGCGGGGAAGTGGTGCTGAGACCCAATGAGCTGAAGGACTACATCAACGAGCTGTCACATGAAGTCCTCTGTCACATCTTCAGGTACACACACTGTGCGTGCGTGCGTGCGTGCGTGCGTGCGTCAAATCAAATGTTTGATTCTGTGCCGATCTGAGATGAACACACATTTCATGACAGCGACACAAATGCAACAGTCACACAAACTCGCACACAAGCTAACGTGGACTTCAGGTGCCCATCAGCAGAGGCTAAACGGTAAATGGACTTGAGCTTGTGTATTTCTTTTGTAGTTTTCTGACTACCGGCCGGCCGTCCCGTCCATGTAAACACGCTGTAGATATGACATCACAGACAGTCATGACCCACAGAGTTATAAACTGGATTTCTGCTACATTTGTGTTGAATTGTCGCACATTCAGCCTTTAAAGTTTAGTTTAGTGTATTACATGTTTTGAAAGAAGAGTCAAACAGAAAAATAAAACACATGTGCAGGTGAGGTAGAAACCCATGGGGTTAGGGTTATGGGCTAGGTTAGGGTTATGGGGTTAGGGTTATGGGCTTATCTCAAAACCTCACCTTAAGAGATTAAACAAAGTTAAAATAAAATACAGTAAAAAAATAACAAAGTAAAAATATTTACTATCACAAATAAAATTTACCCAATTGAAAATGACATACAAACATTGAAAACATAAACAGGACATACAGTATGTAGACAATATAACAAAACCAGGACAATTCACTATTCACTACAAATCTTTCTGACATAGAAACATTTCATCAGAGTCTCATTTTATATCTAGAAAAAGACAAAAAACATTAGGTAAATACAGATGCGTGTTCCATAATTTGACTCCAAAGTTATAGTCGGGTATCATAATTCATTCAGGAGTCTGGGAGAAGCAGCTGAAGACAACATTAATCAACCACGCACAAACAAACAGGTTTCCTTTCATGTCAGAAACATCATCACCTGAGCCTGCATTACATAACCTTACAGAAAAAGGTGAAGAGACACCTTTTACCTGAGCCTGACAAACAGCTGTGGTGGTTTATGTTGAAGGTATCTTCCCATGAAGGACATCATGTGTATGGAGAGTCTGTCCAGGAAGCTGAGGGAGGCGGTCACTCTGTACCTGAGGGTGGTGAAGGTGGTGGATCTGTGTGCAGGTCGATGGTGGGAGTACATGCCGTCAGGTAAACCAGTGATGATCAGATAGAAGAGAATCTGATATTTGATGATTCTCCGTTTATAGATTTCAAACACGTCGTCTTGTTTGTGGTTCAGGTTTTACCGACGGTAGCTTCCTGCTCCTCCTCAAGAAGATGCCGGATCTGGAGCAGCTGTACGGCCTCCACCCTCGATACCTGGAGAGGAGGCGAGTCCGAGGCTACGAGGCCTTCAGCATCCCTGGAGTCCTGGAGGCCCTGCAGACCTGCCCCAACCTGCTGGTCAGTGAGAGCGACACACAGACATCATGTAGATTTATTCCTGTAGACCTGCACAGTCTCTCAGAACTACAGGGATCTGATGGTTTACAGTCATACAGGTTTGTAACAGTCAGATTCATGTGAGAGACCTCATCCCTGTATCTCCTCTTTAGTCTTTACACTCAGACTAGAAATCAGGGCTCAAGACCACTTTTTGAAGGTCCCGTCTCGGAATCCAAAGCATTTTGACTCAGTCTTGTCTCGGTCTCAGACTGGGTGGACTCCGGATTTTAAATCAAGACTGGTCAAGACCGCCACTGATTGGCTATTTTTCCACCTCATCACTGTAATTAGAAGGAAAACGCCTCTTTCTAAAATCTTCCTGGTTACGCTCTAAGTGAGTGACACGGCCCCTAAACACAAAATTTTTCTGAGATATTTATGGTCTTGGTCTTGCCCTTGTCTTGGTCTTGCCTCGGCCTTGATCTCT